AAAAAAAAAAAAAAAAAGAAATGCTTCCCACCTCAAGCATAAAGAATGCCTCTTTATCCTAATGTGAAAGGTTTACTTACCATATTTAGATCTTTAATCCACCTGGAACTGATTTGTGTGCGGTAATAAACAGGGATGTCATTTTATTTTCTTCAACACAATCATTAATTGTCCCAGCAGTATTTTTTCATCTCTGATTTTTAAAGTACCTCTGACTATATATACCAAGTTTCCAAATATGTGTGAATCTGTTTCTGAGCTTCCTACTCTGTTCCATTAGTCTACTTACTTAAACATAAACATGTATTGTTTTCATAATATAAAAGAAAGTCTATGTGGAAAAGGATATGAAAGGATGGTGAAGAAGGGAAAGGAAAGGAATGGATGCTTTGCCCAACAATGTCAGAAAACTTAAATTCTAGACTATCACAGAGACCGACAGTCCACATAGAATGAACTCTATGAGCAGTTCTAAAGTAAAACACTGTAAGAGACAATTAAAAAGCAAGCAGGGTGCTGTGGCTCACATCTATAATCCCAATACTTTGGGAGGTCAAGGAGGGAGTATTGCTTGGGGCCAACAGTTCAAGACCTGGGCAATATAGCAAGAGACCCTGTCTCTACAAAAAAAAAAAACCTAGCCCAGCATGGTGGCACACGCCTGTAGTCCCAGCTACTTAGAAAGCTGAAGTGTGAGGATCACTTGAGCCCACAAGTTCAAGGCTACAGTGAGCTATTGACCATGCCACATTGAACTCTAGCCTGGGACCCCGTCTGAAAAAAAATAAAACAGAACAAAAGAAGCAGCCAAAATTACGAGGGAGACAAAGAATTTAGAATACAAATCGAATTTTTCATATAAGCGCTAAAGTATGACATAGTACTTGTATTTGTACCAAGGTATTTACTCCTGCTATTGCTTTAACCATCCCCTGACAGAGACACATGCATACACACACAACTACAGCAAGAAACCAGTTAGGATATGAGCTAAATAGGATTTTAAAAAACAAAGGATTCTTATGAATTTCAGTGGCAAACTTCATAAAGCATCCTAGAACTTAAGTTTACTAATCCAGACAACTACATGTTCATGTATACTATCTCCTACCCTTGTGAACTTGGAGCACATTTCCTCTGCTTCTTTTATCATATTTGCTCGAAGCATATATTTTGCACATTTAGAATTGATGAATCTATCAGCTGTGTCCAAAGACTGTGCTTCATCCATCCACTTTGCAGCTTCTTTGAGATTACCTATATGCTATTAAGATATAAAAGCATTAAAGAAATCACAGTTTAGATTAAGAGAATATGAGTACAATAAAAATGGAAAAAAACTTGTAAAGACAAAATAGAAATCTGGCACCATTTCTGTCAAATGTATCTAGTAATCTAAATTACAATTCACATTTATTAATACTAAGAGCTAAATCAAATGACTAATATTGATTACACAACTATATAATATAAAACTGCTTAGAATTATTAAGAATTTTAGACAAAGATTATCAGGGTGCCCTAGAAGATATTTCTACATAAAAAGAATTCCAAGGGTTCTTAAAGTACCTGAAATCTTCAACTAGTCACAAAACATGATTCAGATTTTACCTTGTAAATTTTTGCTTTCATATAGAATAATTCTATTAGAGTTGGAGTACTAGCAATTGCAGCATTAATATAATCCAAAGCCAAAGAATATTGTCCAAGTTTATCAAAGTGCTGTGCCAGAAAATACTGAACCCAGAGTAGTGTTGTCGGGGGTTCCTTCTCCCCATTCTCTGCAATTAAACAAATATTAAATAATTATGGAAAGAATCTAAAATAAAGCAATTTACACACTTTCTCTCCCCTAATTCATAATGAGATTAATGATTATTGTAATCATAAACAGTAAAAACTCAGGAAAAATGATCAGTTTCAACAGAAAGAGGTATGATTTCATGCTGTAAAGTTTGAAAAGTGGCAGTCGAGCAGAGAAACCAAGATCGTAGTTTGACGGGCTTTTAAACCCAACCTCACTCCAAAGAAACTGGGGAAAGGACATAAATCAATCTAATTCTGTGAATTCTCAGGCTGAAAGCAAAAGACAACAAGCCTAGGAAAAGTCAAGGAAAGTAAGTTGGAGAAGAGATTCCCTAACTACAATCCCAAGACTTCAGCAGAGTCAAGAACTGTCAAACTGCCAGGGCTTAGCCTTTTTTAGGCCTATCATACTAAATCAGGGAAACCCAAAGTTGAATATGACCCACAAGAAGAAGAAATACCCCTGACAAAGTGGAAATAACCCTGTCATCTGACAAAAACCTAAGAGGGAACACAACCCAAGTTCTGTAACAAAAGCAGTCACATACCATCAGCCAAGCTCTACCCTGCTCCCCATCCTGCTGTACCCTCGAGCTACAGAAAGGTAGAAAAAGAAATACCAAGCTCTCAAAATGCATTTCAGAAGGTAAGATATGCAGGCATAAAATGAGGAGGAAAGTGTGAATTTACACATGCTACAGAACAAAAAGGTCTCCTAGTGTAGCTGACCAAATGACACGATAATAATGCAAACACAGTATAGCAGGTGAAGTGTCAAACATCTATCCTGCTCCTCTTACATAAACTATATTTCAGAGGAACCGAATATTTTATGAAGGAAAGTTATTTATAAGAATTCTAGCTAATCAATGCAGACACAATGATGATTAGAATGAAATAAGGGATGAACACAATGATCCTCAATGGCTGCTAAAATCATTAGGTGAGAGGCCAGTGAGGAGCTTTTTAATGGGCACACCAGGGTGACAACTTGAACATCAAAAAAGAGAGACAACCAGAATGCCTCCTGCCTCCAGGTGTGATATCACAGGAAGCACAAAGCACCACCAGCAAGTATTCGAATGGAACTGAAATCTAATCAAGCCTATAAATATAACTGTAAGTTTACAAGAAATATGAATGACAGTAAAATATATTACATGATACCACAAGAAAGCAATCAGCCATATCTAGAATACGGGATATCCTATAAGACAAATGACCTTTCAAAAAATGTTAAAAAAAAAAAGGGGGGGGGGAAGGGGAGGTTACTGCTCTAGATTAAAAGAATATAAAAGGCATGACAATCAAATGCAAAGTGTAGACCTTAACTAGATCTAGATTGAAATAAACCAACCTATGAAGACTTTTTTTGGATAACTGGGGAAATCTGAATGTGGACTGGGTATTAATAAATATTATAGCATGAGGTTAATTTTGTGTGACATAACATGGCAGCAACATCTTCTGTTTAATCATTTTAATCACAGATGCATAC